CATCCAGGTGGGTCCAGCTGCGCCTACTCACCGAGGACCCTGCCAACCAGCAATATCCTTTTGTGCGGGGCCAGGATGGGGCTGGCTGGGTTGGGGGGACATGGTTGAGCCTCAACGTGAGCCTGCCCCGTTGCAGGCAGGGGACCCTGCCGTGCGCTGGGCCGTGCCGGGGGCTGCCTGCCCCACTGCTGCATGAAAGCATCCCTGGATCTGCTCCTTGACTCGTCACACTGCAGCCTACGTGACCTGCCAGGATCTCCGCAGCATTGTGGACCCCTCGGAGCAAATGGTGATGGTTATCAAAGCCCCCCCGGAGACCCAGCTGCAGGTGTCAGACCCAGAGGAGGTGAGCTGGGGCTCCCCATGTCTGCATAGCCCTCAGCAAAGCCCAGCCCCGGCTATCTAGGCATCGCTGTGCCTCCTCGTCTCACTCCACTCCCCTTTCCTCAGGCTTTCCAAGTCTCCGTGCGAAGCACTCAGGGCCCCATTGACGTCTTCCTCTGCCCCGAGGACAGCTCGGGGGTCTGTAGCCCTGTCAAGAGCCCCTTCAAAGCCTCCACAGAGGAGTCATCCCCTGGCCACTCGCAGCCTAGAGCCTCCCCGCTCCTGCATCCTGCCCAAGACATGAACCTGCCGCTGCTGCCTGGAGAGCAAGGTGGGCACCCAGGGCTGGGGGCGAGGGTGAGCGGGGGATGGGTGCTGGCGTGATGGCACAGTGGCTTTGGCTGGGAGCTCTTGCTGTGTTTGCAGCTGTGACCCCTTCTGCTCTTACCACAAGCAAGGAGCTGAGGTGATGCTCAGGGAGGTCCTGCTGCATAGCCAAAACCTGCCTTTTTGGGATGTTTTTTGGCAAGTATTGTGGGATTTACAGCTGCTTCCTGTCCCTGCAGAGACGCTGCTGCCAGGGACGAGCGCGCTGCCCAGCAAGTGCCCGGCAGAGGAGGTGAACCTCTCGCCACTGGCCTCCATGGACGCCCTCCTGGAGCAGAACAGGGAGGAGGATTTTTCGGGTTTCTTGGCGGACGAGTTCATCAACCTGTCCCCACCGCAGGCGCAGGACTACCACTTCGGCCTGGAGGAGGGCGAGGGCATCAGCGAGCTCTTCGACTGCGACTTTGGGGACTTAATGCCCTTGGACTTCTGAGGCTCTGCCTGGGTGCTCGCAGGGGAGCTGCCAGGCCGGGGGGCACCCCTGGGCCCCTGCCCTCACAGGCAGTGTGGGCAGGGCAGACAGCCCCTCTGGCTGCAGCACCCACAGTTCCTCTCCCCATCTCTTCTTGCAATATTTTCTTCTGACCCCTCCAGCCCTCCCAGCCTGGTGGGGGCCAGCGGTGTCCCTGGCTCCAGCCCTATGAGGGGGATGCTGGGGTGGGGGTCCCCCATCTCAGGGGACCCTCCACAGGGGGAGGAGCTGTCCAGGGCAAAGCCCTTGCTCCCCTGGGGTCCCCATTACAGAGCTTTAAGCAGTCCTGTGTATAGATTTGATTAATTTATTATTGTCCCCTGGGGACAGCGTTTAACTTCCTGGGGGGTTGGGAGGGGGCCGTGTAGCAGAATGGGGGTGCCAAGAGGTTTTGTCATGCTGGGAAGGGGGTCTCAGAGACGCAGGGGGTGCTGGGTCAGGGCTGTCACTCGGGTGGGGGATGCCCACAGCCTGGCTGAGTGTGGGGTATTTATTTATTATTTATGGTGTGCGGGAGCTTTCCCGGGATGTGGGGGGGGAAGGAAGGAGGGAGTGGGGGGACTGTGCTGACAGGGGTAGGACATGGAGGGACCGCCGGGTGCTCACTGACACGTCCTGACTTGGCTTGTGGCCAAAATGGGGCTGCTGGTGAGGCCACTGTGCTGGCAGGTGGCCCTGGGACCAAGTGTGTGTCCCCTCGGGTGGGGACACACACACACAGGGGTGTCCTGGGGGTGCATCTCTGCAGGTGAGGACCCAACGCTGTCTCCAGGCCTTTCTCCCCCTCCCCACGCAACCGTTCGGCCTTTCAGCTCCCTCTCTGGCCCCCTGGGCCTGGCAGAGGCGGAGGGGATGAGACTCCCGGGGCTGGGCTGGAGACGCACTTTCACTTTTATGCCTTTTAACAAGCTTGTGTTCCTCTGAGCTTCGTGTTTAATAAAGGTTTCTACTGACTGGTCTCTGGCGTGGGGCTGCACTGGGGTGGCTGTGGGTGGTGGGGTCCCCACCCCAAGAAACCAAGGGCTTTGGGTTATGCCGTGGTGATGCTTCCTTTTTGAACGTGGAGTGTCCGTCCCTGCCTGGCGTTGCGGAAGGGCTTTGGGCCTCTCTGGGTTAAATTCCGTGTGCCCCTACGTGTGGGATGGGAGCTGGGGTTGGTCCTGCTGCCCCGTGTTCCTCCAGTGGGGCTGTGCCCCAGGGGGCAGGCCTGTGGGTCTGGGTGGGGATCCCTGAAGAGGAGCAGCCCAACTCCCCTGGGTAGAGTCCCTGTCCCCACCCAGCCCCTCTCCTGCCCATCCCCTACCTCCCCACTGGTTTTGGGGCAGCGTTTGCCTGGGGGTTCTGGCAGAGCAGCTCCCGTGCTGGGAGGAGGAAGGCAGCGTGGGGCTGATGTGGAACCAGCCTGTGCATCCACTGCACTGGCAAGCTCCTAGTGACTTAACTCCCGTTCACCCCGGCACCTCCTGGTCCTGCCTGAAGGCAGCTGCTGGCACCACCTCATGGCCCAAAGTTCACGGTCCCCGTGTCCCTGCTCACCAGGGTGCTCCAGCAGCTCTGACCCTGGGTACCCCACAGTGGCACACCATCCCCTTCCTGTGGAGCGGGAGACATTGGGGATCTCCTGGGGAAGGGTGCTTGGAGACCATGGGGGCCCCCAGAGCAGCCTGGAGTGGGCTCTGGGGTGGCCATGGCCCCTGCCCCAGCAGCAGGTGGGGACGTGCCACTTCCTTCCCGTTCTGTGCGCTCGCTCCCCTCCTCTCTCCGCCCGGCCTCCTGCCTGTTTCTCCTCTGAGCAGCCTGATAAATATTTCCCCCTGGCCTGTGTTGTGTAAGCTCGCCTTGCTGCGGGCGCAAGGAATTAGAGCCCAGCTTAGGGCCGGGCTGCTGGCAGGTGCTGGGGGGGCACAGCGAGCCCGTCATGGCTGCCCAGTCTCGCTCATGCCTCCATCCCCACGTCTCCATCCCCCAACACGGCCCTGGCTCGTCTTGCTGCCACAGGGTTGTTCTCGCTGGGGGACACAGGTGGGTAGCAGTGTGCTGGCGTCCCTGGGCATGGGGTGGCAGTCTGGCATGGCTCAGCCCTCTACGGGGTGCCAGCCCCCTGCACCATCCCCCTCCCACCCCCC